GTTAAACTCTTCTGTCAGCTGCAGTGGATGTTTCACTCCTGCCTGCAGTACCAACCACCACCTGAGGCAGCACTATAGAGTCACCTTCTGTAGCAGGGCAGACAGGACAATTGAACTCAGCAATTGAAAGGTTAATGGGCTCAGCTGAACCTTGTAGTCCCACTTCAGAAATGTCATTTTTCAAAACAACAATTTCCTTAACCAGCGCACTTCCAGTCACAGTGCTGCTGGACAAGATATTATCACACAAAGGCGCCATACAGTCAGTGTGGGCCTCACTATTAAGTGGCATGAAAGCAGTCTTAGTCACTAACTGAGGCCTGGCAGGCTTTACCTTATCAGGTACATCTTCTGGTACATCCTCATCTCCAAAAACCAGCTGACCCTCCTGGATGGGAGACTCCATTGCCTGGATCACCCACAGCATACCGCCAGAGTCCTACAATGGTGCTGCGCTGCTTACCTCACACTGGGGAGGCAGTGGATCGGAACTTGGAGTCTCCTTTACCTCCATCTTAGCCATTCTCTCAAAGTGCCTTCCATTACGGAACTTCTCCATGAATGTCTGTGAGTCATTTTGGTGTCACCCCTCCAATGGTGTCACCCGGGTGCGGGCCGCACTCCCCTTGTGACGCCACTGCCTGAAGCTCCACTTGGCCTTTCACCAGCTGGATCTCAGCATCCAAAGAGCCTTGTTTCTGGCTGTAAAGCCCACCAAGCTGCTTCCTCAGCCGCTTATACTCTGCTCTAGGTTTATAGAGCTTATCTCTCTCTTTATTCAGAATCCTGATCCCGGTCACCACTCTCTCTTGAATGGACACAGCTCCTTCACCCTCAGCAGGGGCAGACAAATCACAGGCACCTGTATCTGCAGGTATCTCGCTCCTGAGCTCCGGACATGGCTGAGAGCTCCCAGAGGAAGTCCCCCCAACCTCCATGGCTTCCCCAGGAAGGGGCCAGAAGGCCTTGGATAGTTGGATCACACACTCCTTGCAGAAACTGTTCAAGTTTAAGTGAGACACTGAGCTTCTGAAAGCACCTTCTAGCACAGGGGTCTTCTAGCACACTCTGGCCCTCCAGCTGTTGGGAAACTACAAGTCCCATGAGTCATTGCTAGACTGACAGTTACAGGCATGTAGTGGCTAATCTACAAATCTCTATATTTAATGCAATAACAGACATATGGCGGAGTTGACCTTTAAAAATTGTGAAAGTCAAAGCACAAAAATAGCACTATAATGCCTCAATATATGAAGTCACTAAAAATACATTTATATTTTTCCTTTAATATTTTAACTAAGGGAAAAGTGAAATTCACTTTGCAAATTGACATTCTCTGTTCCTGTAATAAATCAGCCCCAATGTTTCTGACTGTTAAAACATGCAATGCCATATAGTTTTGTTTGCTTCCTTTAATGTTTTATTATTTCCAAGCTGGGCAGATGCAGATAATGTGTTAACCTTTAAAGGATATTCTCCATTGAATTCTATAGTGTCTGGGGAGATGTAAAAAAATATAATTGTAATGGGGATTTTTAGTTCTCCAAAGTAAGTGTTCCTGTGTGTTTTGAAGCAGGTATAAAATGGAGCTTTCTGTGAAAAAAAATCATGTGTGATTGCACCTCGATATTTCATAAAAATGGTAAATAATTCTCTATTTTTTAACACAGTTATTCTGATTTACTAAAGGAGCAGAAATGTCTCACCTAATATATTGTAACTGTACTCACTATGAATATCCATTCATGTGCAGATTAAAAAAATTACCAGCAAATTTCTAATCACAGGGTTGAATAATTATGGCCAATATCCACTTAATTTTCTCAATGCAAAATTCTCAATTCTTTAAGTAAATTGGCCTCCCCGTGCTTATTCACTTCTACATGCTACATATTCTTAATATTTTCTCTAGGATCTGACAAAAATCTTTCATTCTTTTTTGCGATTCTTTACAATGTAAGACTTTATGTGTGTTATAGATAGCACAGTAAATCCCTGACTTGTCATCCTATACTATTTCCCAGGATTATGGCGGTATATGCTCACCTCTCTCCCCCTCTACTCCAGTTGTGCATTGTCCCTCAGCGTCCTCACATGCAATGCAAGTCAATAGACTTGTATTGGATGTTAGGATTTGTCAACAGTACTTAGAACGCTGAAGCCTGGGGAAGAACAGGCTGCAGGGAACATTCTAGCATCTAGGCAGGAACAAGGATTGGGTAAGTATATCTTTTATATTTTAAACCCCAGCACTTTACTCTTGCAGTGCAGGGGCAACACCACTGCAGGGGTTATTTTTTTATAATGCCCACAGTTCTTCGTTAAAGCAAAAAACACAGAACAAGTATGCATATGCAGATCACTGACTTTGCTGATCTGTATTCTTATTTTGTTTTTGCTGGACAGTGTCAGCTCATGTAGCAGCATAAAAGATAGGCAGCTAGTATTTCCAGGGATAGACCTTCATAAAAAGTTAGCAAGTTAGTTAGGCAGGAACGGTCTTTCCTGAACCCATGCTGATTGTCATTAACTATCCCGTTTTCCTGAACAAATTCTACCAGATAATCCTTTATTATGCCCTCTAGCATCTTACAAACTACCGATAATTGTAATTTCTAATATTGTATTTCTATCTCGTTTACTTCATATTATTTGATGGGTTTTGATATTTTAAACATTTTTTACTTCTACAATATTGTTGTTTTATTAAATGTGGATATTTGTAGATTTACCTGGACAGGTAGATTGGAAGATAAAACAACTATATTTAACATATGCTTTACAACTGTGTGTGTCACCAGCACAGGGAATGTCATTTTTCTCAGTAATTTCACTGACAATCCAACTTGCATTGTATTAGAGGGCAGTAAAATATAACCATTGTGTGGCATTGCAAACCATGTCCATGTAGAAAACTACACACTTATGAGATTATTTACATCAAGCAGATTTATTTTACATATACCGTACATCTAAGTAAACAAAAAAAACAACTATATATTCCCTTTCAAAGGATAATTGGATAATATATTTGGGACGCCATGCTTCAATATATCCTCACATTTGCTCTATCTCTGTACAAGTATGTCCTTGAACTAATAGATGCATTTGATTTTTTTTTTTTTTAAAAGCTAAACTAATAACCCAATACTTCAATTATATTTATAGGTTTATCTAATAGTGATGTGATGTTACATACAATTAAAGAAGGAATAGAAAAGTTCATGCATTTTAAACTATTTAAATTTTTACAGAAATTACAGAAATGTTCAGAGAGTCTTTAACTGAATCTCCATATAGCCCCCTATGAACAGGGAGGGATGAGTGATTTTTTCTGTGCATGTAAATATACGTTTGAGCTACTGATCTCTGTAAACATGCTTTTTAGTTAAAGCAAGTAAGATTACAGTGGTAACATGTAAAAAGGTGCCTAGGGCTGTACATGTTGGCTGGAAATGTAAATATTAAATATTTATATTAATTATTTCAATTGTTAATTATATTTAACAAAACTTACATGCACACTAATAAGTAACAATCTCTAATATGACAGTTTCACATTCAAAATATTTCCTGTTATACAAATTCAAACTGTTTATAAAATTGTGCAAAAGCACATGATTGTCCAAAGTCAACATTAATAAAAGTCCACAAATATTTTCACATATGGGAAACACAGTTACTGTGCTTAAAACATTACCAATACCTCTTTGGACAGCCACTTTCAGACCTCGTGGCCGGGGCCCAGATGAAGTGGGCTGAATGATACTGGCTACCATTCAGCCCAGAAGACTAATGACATCTTGTGAGGAAAGAAAGTACTGCAACGGACAGTTCCAGTGAGTATTAAAGCAAATGCTGCATTTTTCTTTTTTCTTTTTATGGGCCCTTAATTTGTTTTGCTTTTATTTTTTGACTGGAGTTCTGCTTTAACAAAAACAAAATCTAAAATAAACACAGCAGATCACGTAGAGACAGATGTCATGTAACTATACTAGCAGCTTTGAATTAGTATCATGCTTAATTTATTAAGTACATTGATGGACTTAAGAAATGTTTTTACATTCCCATAGTTTTTCCATAATTGTTGTCCATCCAAAACTAATTTTTTACATAGTTACGTAGTTAGCCAGTAAAGACAATGTGTAAAAAAAAAAAAACCCTTGATAAACAGAACTCCCACAGCTGATCCAGAGGAAGAAAAACCCCCATAAAGCATGATCCAATTTGCTCCAACAGTTGAAAAATACCTTCATGATCCCAAAATGCAGTCAGATATTTCCTGGATCAACAATATCAAGTGTTAATACTTATACTTGTTAATATTCTTTGCATTTAACTTGTTTTAACAATCATCTGAGTTGGCTAGAACTAGTTCCCAAGGTAGGTTATTCCACATTTGCACAGCTCTTTTATTCACAGAATTGTAGTTTAATTAATTAGGGAATGCTATAAAACATGTATGCTTAATATTACAATACTGTTATATGCTCCACTGCCCACATAAATCATTATGTGTAAATATAGATTATAGATTTTGTTATACTAAAATGTAGGTTATTCCACATTTTCACAGTTCTTACTGTGAAGAAGCCTTTCCATATGTGGAGATTAAACATCTTTTCCTCCAGGTGCAAAGAGTAAGAGTCACAATACTGTTTTTTTGTTTAGATGTTCTTAAATAAAGGTTTCTTAAATAAAAATGATTTTTGTGAATTCAATTAGGTGAAAGATAGCAAATTAAGCTGTGAAAGTGTAGATCATTTTAACTTTGTAAAACGACTAGCACATTTTTAACAAGTCAGACTTAATGATATATGGGCACAAACTCTCCTGGCCATCTTATGTCCAAGACATCTTACACCACTGGGTAGTTAGCAAAGGAGGGAGTATGAATGTGCTTCACTCGGGAATGGTGCTTTTTTCATTTCCCCTTAAATGTGCAAAGAGACATTTGGTGGCTCAGTATCCTCCATTGCAGAACAACACACTCCACTGAAATGGAACCAGAATCCACTAAATGCTTTGGGGCAAATGCAGAAAAGTACTGGGGAGCATGGGAACCAGTAAGTAGTAGTAACCAGAAATTATTATTTGTAATTTTGATTGCTTGTGTAAAGCAAACTGATGTCACACTGACCTTATTACTGTGGTACTCTTACACTCTTTGTGCATCTTGCATAAAGTTTGTGTGTATGTGTGTGCAGCATTAGTCAGTCCAGAAAACCTTTGTACAAAGAGGTGAAGGAAAAAACTCAGAAACTTGTTTGGTAATTCTGTAACAATGTATCTCTGTATGTCTACCATATGGCTGAAAGTAATCACCAGGACTCACAGGATGCCAAATTCGTATTCATTTTTATTGAACGTGTGTCACATGCATTATTCAAAGCAACGTTTCAGGGCCACGCAGGGTCCCTTCCTCACAGCAACATAGTGACAGGGAAGAACTTTGTATCCTGGGAGTGCTGGTGAATGATTCCTATAAGTCATATTGTGAGAACAAATGGCGACATCCGTGTCATCAGATTCAGAAAGAGAAAGTTCTAAAGAGCTGTGACAAACCACAACGCTTGTATGCCTACCGTGACACATCCCTAATGCCTGGCTTCAAAAAGAAGAGGAAAAGAAAAGGGTTATAGGACATGTCAGAGACCACAGGAAATTCTAATGAATGGCATTAAGTGACCCTGTCATGAGAGAAGTATGGGTCTACCATTGCTGGTCTCCTGCTTAAAAAAATCTTGTGTAAATAAGGTTCAGAATTCTTCATCTTTATACTGTACTTGTTCCAACTCAGTAACTCAAGACACATTAAAGCCAATACAGCAACATGTCAACCGGATATCTAGCATTTTCAGAAGGAATTTTCAGCTATGGCAACCTCCATGATTTTCTCAGGGCTGGTATAATTGTAACTTGCAATTCTATTGAGGTGGTGCTTTTGTTTGAAAGTTTCATTACCTGTTAAAGCCTATTTGAACTTTTTTGTTACTATAATGCAGTCATGCTGCATAAATAGTAAGGATGTCAGTGGGGTTTTTAAACATTTTTTAATGTTGTGTTGCAGCCTTTGTTAAAAATCCCTTGATGCATCAACACACTGGATTTGGAATTCTGTTCAACACAAGGCAATCAGTCTGACATGCCTCCTGCACATCGCTCCAATAACCAATGATCCAGCAGTCTGGATCTCCAGCGTACTGATGAGTTAAAATGACACTAAACTCAGGAGTTAAATCTTAAAAATGCATCTAGGTGCCTCAACTATTACCAAAACTGTACCTTATTTGTGCATCATTAACTGTAGATCCTCCAAATAACTCTGATTTTGTGCTGACACTGTTTTTCCTTCTGGAGGGTGGTTACTTTTGTTCCCTATGGTTCCTGAGTGTGTTGTAAAGTAGCCACCACCTTAAGCACAGTACTGTTATGGACTACAATCTCGTGTTTAGTTCACTAATTTGTATTGAGATTGTAGTCCATCACAGGATCAAGCTTGGAGCGGTGGCTACTTTACAGCATACAGGGACCAGGAAGGACAGTGTCAGCACCATTAGAGAGATGATTTGAGGATCTACAGAAGTGATACCCAAATATACTACATTTTTGTGAATAACTAAGGAACTTGAATACATTTTTAAGATTTAAATGAGAAATGTGGTGTGAGTGAAAAACACATCCCCATATTTCAAGCCAATCTGTGACACTGAGGCTGTCACAGGTTGGCTCTATTGATTAAGAAGTCAGCAAATACATACCACCAATCGATCTCGATCCTCTGCCTGCAGAGAGTGATGACTGTCCGGCGGGGGCGGCACAGCTGGGTCTGCTTCTAGAGAGGCAGAGCCAGCTGTCGATCAGCCAGCAGGGTGGATCTCAACAGTATTTTTAGGATCCGTCCCAGCTGCGGCGCTGCTCTGCACTCTAAGCATATCCACTGAGTTTTTGGTCCCTGGAGGACATTAGTATATGTTCTCCTGTGACCCTGAAGAGAGCTATGGCCAACAATGGTTGGCCCATAGTTGTCTTTTAACTCCTGAGTTTACTGTCGCATTAATGAATTTTAACAAAGGCTTCAGCACACTACTACATAAACATTTTTTTAAACACTGATACATACTTTATGGATAACGCAGCCCGATTGCATTACAGTGATAAACATGAAAGTTTGAATTGGGCTTTAACAGTGTAAAATGTGTTATGGAGAACTCATGTGTTTTTGTAATTGTACATATCTGTGAATTTCAATTTATAGTGATTTGTAAATATAAACTTTCATTAATAATTTACATGCATTTAACTTTCAGAAAGCAGTGGAAGAGCTGAATCAGACATTTGTCACAGAGTTTATACTTCTAGGAATCACCAGCTTGCCTCAACTGAAGATATTGTTTTTTATTACGTTTCTTATGTTCTATCTCTTATGTTTTCTTGGGAACTTAAGTATTGTAGCAGTAGTGCTTATTGATCATGGCCTTCACACCCCCATGTACTTCCTCCTGGGCAATCTTTCCTTCTTGGACTTCTTTTACTCCACAACAACTGTCCCAAAGTTGTTGTCAGGCTTACTTATAGAAGATAAAAGGATATCTTTTCATAGCTGCATGGCCCAACTTCATGTATTCCATTTCTTAGGCAGCACCGAGGCCATGCTTCTTACGTCAATGTCTTATGACAGATACATTGCCATTTGTAACCCATTACGGTACCATGTTCTTATGTCAAAGGAAGCATGTATTCAGTTATCTTTCACTTCCTGGCTCATTGGTTTCTTGTACTCATTAACACAGACAATACTGACTTTTAGATTGCCATTTTGCAGTGCCAACAAGGTCACTGCCTTTTACTGTGATATCAAGCCTCTATTGAAGTTGGCCTGCACAGACACTCATATCAATGAAAGTCTGGTATCTATAGTCACTGGAACTGTGGCACTTGGTACTTTTATTTTAATTGTTATATCATATATCTTTATTGCAACCCATCTTCAGAATATCCAGTCTAGTCAAGGCAGACATAAAGCCTTATCTACCTGCACTTCTCACCTCACTGTTGTCCTTTTATACTATGGAACAGCATTCTGCACCTACTTGAGACCAGCTACTAAAGATTCGCTTGAACAGGACAGAATGAGTGCAATTCTCTTTACAGTTATCACTCCTGCATTAAATCCTCTGATCTATGCTCTACGAAATAAAGAGGTAAAAAGGGCATTCAGGAAGTTGTTTTATGATGGTTACACTTTTAAACATATAAAAATAAAAATGTAATGCTCATTTATAAAAAAGACAAACAAACATTGTGCAATACAGTAGAGTCTGACTGTCTCAAGGTGCATCTCTGCAAGTAAGTCTGTAAGTCCTGCAGTGCAGGGTAAAACAGAAAATGTAATACATATTAAATTCCTTTTATAACAGTGTCCTTAAGGAGGTGGTGGGAATTTCACTCAAGAAGTTACTTGGTTGACCTGTCCTCTTTGTGATTGGTACAAGAGACAAGAGAGCACTGCACTTTAACTACGCTATATTGAGCATGTTTGTAGGCATGTGCACATATATAGTATCTTTGAGACATAGAGAGTGGGAAAGTGGTGTTCTGAGTCTATCCAAAAAAAAGTAGCTGACATATGCCACAGGTCCTAAGAACCTTGGCCTTGGTCAACCAGATGTAGCAACCTTAGTCTTGATTCAAATAGGGGTGTGACACCACTCACTCAGGATCTGTTCACAATCATTTGTTTTGAACCTTAGTTTTCGGAGTTGGAAGTTCCCACCAGAATCGTCCAGCGAGATAAAGGGGATTTCCTGTTTGCACAGGAGAGGCACTAGTGAAGCACTGAAAAATTCATGATCTAGTATTGTGCTATCCATGACAAATTGGAGAGGCACTAAAGAAGGTGTAAAAACCGTGAAGCCTAGTGATGCCATGACAATGTTAAAAGACAAACAAGTACAGTCAGACACATTAAAAGGGAAGTGTGGCCCAAGAGTTTATGAGACTCTTAACGTGTTGAGTACCTCCAGAGAAGCATCTATAGAAGATATAATAGGTTAGTTACTAAGAAAGGTCCTTTTTATATAGATTCTCATAGTACTGCATTTTCGGACATCACTGTGACGGACCGTCTGGTACCCCGACTGGATACCTCCATCAGAAATCAGCTTCCTCTCCGCTGGAACCCGAATTCCAGTGTCCTCAGCCCAAACCTGCCTAATTATTGGATGGAACCAATATATTAGGACAGAAAGCTAAACTCCTCAAACATCAGACAACACCAATGTTGAAGTGGAAACCAAGAACTGGTTTATTGAAGAAAGCAAACAGAGTTTATACCTCACAGAATCAGATAAGAGTTCAGTTTGTTGAACAGTTCCCATACCTAGACAGCCGGGTGCCGCATTAGAATTCCTTAAGCACAGACACTCTTTGAACCCAATGCATGTCCTTAATTAGATAAGAGCTTGATCATCCTAAACAATTGTCTCTCCAGACAGCCTGCTGCCTATAATGAACACAGGGTCACTTAAATGTAATGCCAGGGGAAACATGCAGTATTTTCATTCCACACATAAACCTAGGATAATAGTTCCATCTATCCCCAAAAGGTCTGAGGGGGGTCTCCATAGTTCTAGGTACATAGTCAGTAGGAAGGAGGCTAGCTCTCAGGCTCCTCCAGCAGCCCCAGTGACGGTTCAGTCCGTCACAGTAATATTCTTTAAAAAAAAACAGATTTTTGATCATTTATTTAAAAAAAATATCAATATATGTAATGGTGTATTGTGGAAAAAATAAGTTGCCTCAGAAGCCGGTATTGCCCCCTTTCGCAGAAATTACTTTTTACGGGCTTTTGCATAATTGCCCATCAGTCCCTAACATTGACTTTGTGATATTTTTGTCCACTTCTCCATGCAAAATTCCTTCATTTGTAAAATGTTTATGGGTTTCCTTGCATGAACTACCTATTTCAAAATCTTAACAACATTTCGACGGGATTCAAATAAGAACATTGACTAGGCCAGTCCATAACCCTCCATTTTTCTTTTTAAGCTGTACTTTGCATATGTGCTATTGTGTTTTGGATCATTATCATGTTAAAAATTCATTTCCAGTGCATCTTCAACTTTTGGACTACGGGCTTCACATTTTAATTAAGTAACTTTTAATATGGCAAAGAATCCATAGATGACCCTGAGGCAACCAACTAACTCATTTTGTTCATGTGACAAATCTTCATTAATTTGAATTATGACAATGAATATAACATGTCAATTTTATATCTTATTTGCTTAAGTATATATTTTCATTCACTAGGCACTGTTTTCATGATCATGATCTAATGTTTACCAATTCAAACCTGCGGAAACAGTCAACCATATCCATAGGGCATACTTGCTTTGTCACATAACTGTATCTGTAATTCTGTCTATCCAGCTCTGAGATTAACACAGTCCTGCTACACAGAACAACCAGGCAGGCAACTACTTTCTCAGCTACAGTTAAAAAAAAGTGTCAAAGGAATACAGTGGTGTCCTTTTTCAGTCTTTTGAAAGTGAAAGAACTGCAACAGACTGACAAAGTAATTTCTCTAACCACTCTCCTCCTATCGACATGTTTCTTGTAGGCAAAGTATAGACAGCACTCTAGATTGGCTCCCAGTTTTCTTCCAGTCTAAATGACTGTTTATGGAGTTTTACAACAGAATCAACTGTATCTAAAAATTAGGCCATTGTTTTTATTAAGCTGTTCTCTTGATTTGGACCACTAACCTCTCCTCCACTCCTCATTTCCATTCACACGAGTCAGCTGGGAAATTGATGAGATTGTTTAATATGTGTTTTCAGTGCACAGAAAATTAAAGGGATTGGAATTCTGGCAAAATAAACAGTGAGGGCACATTGAGACCAATTGTGGTGTGTTATGCCTCAAGTTCGTGTGCTTTGTGTAGATGCAGCCCATTCATTTGATTGGGCTGCCTAATGCACCAAAACACACCAAAATAGATGTGTGTACCATTTCTGGTAGCACACTGCACAGCAATACATGTTAGTGCATTGCCAACCATTGCACTGAGTTGCAATGCATGGCTCTAGACAATATGCATTGGGATTAAGTATTGCAAAACAATGCAACATGTGGCGATGCACTAACATGTATTGTTGTGGGCTACTAGAAATGGTACATGCACTTCATTCAGAATGAAAGGCACTGCATTGCACTAATGCATGTAACATGTGTTCCTGGGCATTATGTTAACTCATTCATTACTTCAATTAAACATTATGAATGGGATCCCGTGTATAATGACATCAGTGGGGGTGCGGGTGACGGACCCGGGGGCAATTATGGAGGAATTTACACAATATTATAGTGCGCTGTATGCTCCTGTTGCGCCCTATGATGCGGAGGCTCTTCACTCCCTTTTGGGAGGGCTGGGTCTTCCCTGCCTTGAGCAGCAGGACAGGGAATCCTTGGAGGCGGAGATCTCGATAAGGGAGGTCGAGAGAGCAGTTGGATCCTTTCCTGCTAGTAAGGCGCCGGGGCTGGATGGCCTTCCGGCAGAATGGTATAAATGCTATTTACCGCAGATGGCACCTCGGTTACAGGAATTGTATAATGTTTGCCTAGCGCGGGGGAGACTGCCAGCTTCCCTGTATGAGGCGAATGTTGTTCTTATACTTAAACCAGGGAAGGATCCCCTGCTTTGCTCCTCCTACCGACCGATAGCTCTTCTAAACATGGATTTTAAAATTCTGATTGGTGGATATTTGGATAGGAAGGTTGTTGTAACTGTTATGTAAGATGTGCCCTTGAGTGTTGGAACTCAGGCGATGTATGTTGTACTGTTGTACCTTAACTCTGTGAAAACCAAATAAAAACAATTTATTAAAAAAAAAAAAAACATTATGAATAGACCCTTATTTTTCTGTACTTGCAGAAAACTTAGCCTTGTCCTTCCTTCTGGAGGATGGCTACTTTTCTTCCCCATGGTCCCTGTGCGTGTTGTAAAGTAGACACCACTTCAAGCTCACTCCCATGATGCACTACAATCTCACGTTTAGTTTACTAATTTGCAGTAAGAGTGTAGCCTATCATGGAAGCGAGCTTGGAGTGGTGGCTACTTTACAACACACACAGGGACAATGAGGAACAAAGGTAGAAGGAAGGACAGTGTCAGCACCAATTCAGAGATGATTTGATGATCTACAGCCGAGTGATACACAAATAAGCAACATTTTCTTTAATAGTTTGGGTACTTGAATGCATTTTTAAAATGTAACTCCTGAGCTTAGTGTCACTTTAATGTGTGTTTTTTATATCTGCCTGAAGTTTAGCTTTAACAATTAAATGAATAGTAAAAGCCTGTAATGTACATACATTGGCTTCATTTCCTTCAATATACTCAATAAAGGCCAAATTATCAAATATAAAAACCATGTAATAAACAAATGTTTCTTTGTAAAAATAAAAAAACAATAGCGCCAGAGGTGACCACTCCACTGCAGAGGTAAACATGCAGAAGTTCTATAGGTCGCTGCCCCACATCAGTCAGGGAGACTGTGATATCTAAGGAAAAAAACTAAAACAATGGGTGCCTTTCCTAGTGTAGATACATTTTTATTAGCAAAACGGCAAAAGTAGGATAATATTCACAAAAGAGTAGATGACAATGAGCCTTCAAAAACAGAGGTTGATCCTCATTTTAGCAAAGAGCAAAACACAGCATGTAAGAGCTGCACAGATAGTGTTCCTGTGTGCCAGCAAGGTATGCCTCAGTTAACGCGTTTCCGGGGGCACGCCCCCCTCCTCAGAACCTGACCTCCACCTTCATATTGAATTAAGTAGAGACTAACAGCCAATCAATAAATGTTTCTTTGTGTTCATACATTTCCACAGTTGTATTAGGACTCTGTATAATATGTTATAAAATAATCAAGAATGCATACTTTGGTAGAATCTTCAAAAGGACAATCAAAAGAACCTTTATCATTTTTTTCCAAAGGTTTCAGCTTATATACCGGAGCCTACTGAAACAAACATATTTGGGAAACCAAAGTCAAATGCACTATCTATCTTCCATGTTTGAAATCTCCATACAGTCTCTCAAAGTGCATTAAGCACATGTCTGTCTACATCATGGTTGTATACACAATGTATGTGTCACGATAAAATAATCCAATGATTAGATAAAGAGCCAGTAAACTGAGATTCTCAGTCCATGGTTCTAGCTCTGGAGATCAATAACGTCTTCCATGGTAGCACAAAAGTGAATTCATATCATATAAAGATTTTTATTGTATAATCAATGAGTGAAGTATAAATATTCTATATCCTTGTCAAATTGAAAGGTTAAATCACACTTCTATAGAATATTTTGTCCTTTTAGGCCTTACTGATGTCCCTGAGCTTCAGATTTTAATCTCCCTGACATTCCTTCTTTTTTTATCTGTTCAATATATTACCCTCTTCAATATCATCTACTTATGGCAAGAACTGCTTGTTGCCAGTTGGCCGTAAGTTGCTGGCTTATTGGGTTCCTATACTCATTATTAGAAACAATTAGATTTAGGTTGCCTTACTGTAGTATTAAGCAGGTCAGTCATTTTTATTGTGATATTAAACCACTTCTAAAACTGGCTTGTGCAGATACACATATGAGTGAACTTATGGTGTCGGTTATATTTGCACTTGTTGCTGTGAGTACCTTCACAATTATTATCATTTCCTATATGTTTATTGGAAGCCATGTTCTGAACATCCACTCATCTCGCGATAGAAGAACATTTTTCTCTACTTGCACTTCATACCTCACTGTTGTCTTTTTATACCTTGGAACTGCTTTAGTTACATATCTGGGACCTAGCAATGACAGCTCTCTAGAGCAAGACAGAATGAGTGCTATTCTGGTTACTATTGTTACCCCCGCTTTAAATCCTCTTATATATACCTTTAGGAATGCAGAAGTAAAGAGGCCATATAGAAATATATTTTTGAGAAATTTGCAATTGCATTGAAAATGTTTTACCTGTCTATTGGTATGTGAACAGGATTCATTCAAGTATAATTCACTCGTAGAATGATAGGTGTATGTAAACTGTATTGCTGTAAAAAGGTTATAAATATTTAAAGCCAAATTTAACCCAAATTCAGGATTTAATTTTGGTTGGACGAACTTTGATTTTCCGTACTCTGTAGGCCCTAGCTAGCTGGCCAAATTAGACTTTTTTTAAGAATGTAGAGGAAACTTTAGGGGTAATTTTTAGGGACCACAGAAGCAGAAAATTTACATAACTAGCTTACATGTACTGATTGTTCATGTTTATTGTAATCTTGACAATTATGAAGAATAATACATTATAAAAAACAGAGTTCCCATCAGGTATGCAAATAATTTTTTTGGCAAGTTAGCGAATTGTGAACACAGTGAATCCTGGGGATTCAATGCAAAACCATGGTAGCAGTGAACTTTACATATATCATACGCAAGCAATTCAGCATTTTCTAGCTGCAGCTCTAGCCTTCAGTTGTGAGATAATGAATCTGGCCACAGTGATTTGCAGCCTGAGTGCTAGCTGCAGTCTTGCCTCTCAGCAGTAGAGTAATGTGTCAGCTTTATGTACCCAACTGGGATTGGCCTGTGTCTATGGGGGCACTCAATTTAAACATCATCATCCTGTACCTTAGTGCTTGTGACAACGTTTCCTGGCTGGTCAAGTCTGCTACTTGCCCTGACCCTTTGCTACAATTACTGGATACTCCTTTGTTTGGTGCCTCTTTTTCTTCAGCTCTCACTTTCCACTGTCCTATGCTAAATTTACACTGCGGGTTCATAGTGACATCCACAGCCAGGGTACATAGTTTAAATCCTGGGGGCATCCGAGTACAGGTAGACACCCTTGTCTTAAGGGAAAGGCGGCTGCCTTAGGTGAAAAGCAACATCACTATTTACTGCAGTGTTTGTATATGTGACCTTACAAGCATGATAAACATATCACCACACCAGCAACAATGTTTTCCCTAGGTGTCAAATGTGAAGAGTATGCTACATTCTTTATTATGTTTTCATTTTATTTTGCAATACATTTCACATAAACTATCACATACAATCTATTTCATGAAGTAAAATAACAGTCGAACAGCACAGACATCAACAGTGTTCACAGTTTGCATTCAAGAATGGCAGCAATCTGCAGAGATAAATGTCTTGGTTTGATTTCCTAAATAAGAGAAAACAAGTAAGAAAGTAAAACCAGCTCATCTGGGTCTCTGGTCAAAGATAAATTTGGAATTAATTGTTAGGTGAAGGGGGAGTAAGCAATTAGGCTAACAAAGGGTAGTATATAGGTACACAATATGGTTATCAGACAATAGAGGTGATAGAAAAAGAGATCTAGAAAAGGGGCGGGGATATAAAGTTAGCAGATGTGATTTTCACGTTACAGAACAGAAGATTTTGAGAAAAAACACAACAAGGAGAAGAGGGAATGGAGGAAGTAGTTGGGAAGGGGGATTGAACATTCAGCAATGGTTTTGCTCTCAGGTCCTGCCTCAATGTCTAGAGACTTGACAAAAAGAAAGGCATGGTTTATTAAGAGATAGACTATTGGTAGTGGATCCAGGATGACCAGGCGTGTTGATATTGGTTCAATTTACTAAGAAAGATTGCTCTTGCTTCCTCCATTTGTGATACTAAGTCTACTCTGCTTTTATTTTAGAATGCATGGGGGAAGGAGCTGCAGATTCTCCAATGGAGAAGAATTAATGTTTTGGTGATATTATGTGTAAACAGAGATTTCTTATAGGTATGTTTAGACTCAATATATCTGTGCAGTGGATAGCGATGAGGCTCTAGAAGGTATATAGTGTCTGTGATATGTGAAATCCTCTGGTGGGCCTGTGTCCAGTAGGGTTTGATAAGACAAATCCACTAAATATAAGAAATGAATCCCACTTTTGACATGCAACATCATCAGGTTTGAGACTGGCAAGATTTTATGTAGTTTTTTTAGGTGTTTTGCTTCACCTGGAAAATAATTTATAGGTTGATTTTTAGAACTTAGAGTTAATTGAACACTTATGGATCAGAATATATTTTCTCATTGATCATCGATTTGGCCATTCAGATCTATCTCCCAGCATGCCTGGTAGTATTATCCTGCCTGGGAGTATTAGTAAACGGTGTTGTTAGTTATACTTACATGTGCCAACGGATTTCCTATATTGACTGGAGTGAGCCCACTATTATTAACTCCTTTTTTACTACTTTCTGTAGTAAAACTTTCTTCAGTATTATCAACTGAAGGGGTAGTTAGGTGGGTGTACAGTTTCAAAACTGAATGAGATGCAGGCTCTGTATGAGTGCATAGATCCTCAAGGGGGTAAAGGGGAAAATAAATTATCTTTACTCTCGTGGTTCATGATCTAGCTTTTAGATTGAAGATAGGACTAAAGAGGAATATTGCCTTTCAATTAGAATTTAGTTTTGGTAAGAAAATTGCCTATGAATTCCCTATAGGGTGGGTTACTTGATTGCCAGGTACAAATTGAGAATCTGTCCCTAAAGGAAAGTCTTGGTTGTCCCATAAAGGGTGAGAGGACTAACATGTGTAGTCAGTTTGCTTAAAAGAGCCATGAGTCATGTACGGCTGCACCAGTGGGAAGATTTTGTAAGCTGAACTCTGGGATAAGAAAATATTGTCTACTAGAGGTATGTGTATTGTTACTTGATAAAGACCAGTCACCGATGCTCTTCCTCCTTGTGCAGGATGACTGGTCTTGTAGCCATCCCCTCCTGTAGTTTTCTGCAGGTGGCCATCAGCTGGTTTGGGATCTCTAGATAAATGGATCAAAAAAATGGGATGCCACGTGGATCCTAATTATTAGGCATGACTTAGCTGTTAAATGTGGAAACTGGGGAAGCATTATGTGCAGAGCTGCTGATATAGCTATATTGATAGTTATATTTAGCAAATTCCTCCATTAAGTTAGAAATCAAAATTATAGGTTTAGAGGGAAAAAAGAGGAGGTAATTTTCAAATGCAGCTTGTAGATAATCTTTACTTCCCACTGTAATCCCTTTAACAAAGTTGTTTCTTTTAATCATGTGAAGGGAAAAAAAATAGAGTAAGTGGACAATCCTGTTGGGTGTCATTGTACATTGAGAAAGGTCAGGTCAGGTGCAAGATGTTGCCCAATCAGGGCTCAGTACTCTGTAAGAGCCATGATTGGGCAAAGTCATAATGACTTTGCCCAATCATGGCTCACCTGTCAGATGCCCTACAACTGTAAACAGTTGGGTGGAGCTAGCTGTCACCGCTAGCTCTGCCCAATTGCTTATATGTTGCCAGCATCTGTCAAAATGACATTATGCGGCAGGAGTTCGTCGCGAGCGGACGGGATGGCAGTGTAATGATCTTTATCGAGTATTGGACACTCAACTGTGAAGTTAGCTGTGGAATGACAGGGTTCAGTATATGTATCCTTTTTCACTCTCCACGTATTGGTCAATGGAGGTTTGGAACAATTAACATCATCCCCCGTATGAACAGGTAAATTATAATGACAACTCAAGATAAGCTCAATTCATAAGCAAAAGGGTTAACAGTAGTGCATGGAGTTGAGTTGTATGGCCACTGTGAGAGTAATAGTTCTATATCAATCAATAAGCATTGGTGTATCAGCAGTGCATAGGTTAAGTTGTATGGCCACAGTAAGAGCAACAGTTCAATCCCCATCAATAAGCATTGGTGTATCAGCAGTGCATAGGTTAAGCTGTATGGCCACAGTAAGAGTAACAGTTCAATCCCAATCAATAAGCATTGGTGTATCAGCAGTGCATAGGTTAAGTTGTATGGCCACAGTAAGAGCAACAGTTCAAACCCAATCAATAAGCATTGGTGTATCAGCAGTGCATAGTGGGGAGAGCTTTCCTCTGTCTCTCCTATTGTCAGCAAGATCTGTTGGCAACCACTTACAGTCTGTGCTTTTCCCTTGCCCTCAGGCTACTTGCGGTTTGTGTGGGTTCTATGGATCCTATTGCTGCTGAAGCTGATGCTACCATGGAGGTGTCTCCTGAGCGTTGTTCCACATGCACCGCTCACAACGGTCGGACGCTGAACAATCAATCTTGCTCCCTTAAATCCCTCCTCGCTGTGTGCGAAGGGGAGGAGCCGGCTGCCGTCCTGGACAGCGCGTTAGGGGACGGCCGAGTGCCGTCCATGACGGCCCTGAAGGGGAGGAGCCGAGTGCCGTCCATGACGGCCCTGAAGGGGAGGAGCCGGCTGCCGAGCTGGCCGTGCACGGCCCCGCCATGCATCGCTGGACCTTGGATGGGTAAGCCTGTTACAGGCAGTCGTCGTTTTAAAAAACAAATCATTTCTATTTATTTTGTTGAGTCGTTGTCATTGCGGACATCGCAGGGCATCGTGATTGACCCTGGATTACATTGGTGGATCAATTTTTGGGGATTAAAAAATAAAAGACTTGTCAAAAACTTTTGACAAACTTTTTTTTCCAAAAAAAGGATTTTTAAAAAGTCTGTTTTTTAAAATCCAATTTTATTTAACCCTTTAGTGAATGGGTAAGGGTACAAGCACCCCTTACTCATTCACAAGGGGGTACCCTGATGTGAATAAGCCCCCTGCCCACACCCCTACAACCAACACCCCAGGGCTTGGGTGGAAGAGGCTCTTGTCCCAAACAGGACGGGGACAAGGTGCTTTTCCAGGGGCAACCCTAGAAAAGTACCCTCCCAGTGCCGAGGGCATGTCCCCCCCCTTTCCTGCCCTGCCAGGCCTGTGCTCGGTTCAAGGCTCTAGTTGGGAATTTTAGGGGGGGCTCCACCTCCCCCCCCCCCCCATTTTTGGGGGTGGGGTTCATCCTTAAAATTCCTACCAGACATTAAGGGCCTGGTATGACTTTAAGGGGGAACCCCACACACTTTTGTTTTCTTTTTTCTTACATAGAGTCCCTCCTAAAATTCCTACCAGACCTTAAGGGTCTGGTTTGACTTTTGGGGGGAACCCCACACTTTTTTTTCTTTTTTTAAAAAATAGGGTTCTTCCTAACATACCTACTAGACCTTGAGGGTCTGGTATTGTTTGGCACCTCTTTTTAAATGTAATTTTTTTCTTTACAAATGTAATTTTTGCTGCAGTAGGTTCTATACCTTGTACAGATGTGCCACTTTAGAGGCAGTTTAAGGGGACCCCCCAGGCAAGATATTTAAAGACATTTTTCATCTTTTATTGTTTCACTTTAAGTGATGTTAAAATTACTTCTTTAAAAATGGCATTTAAAAAAAAAATTAATTGATTCCTGCCCCCAGTGCATTACCCGAATCCCCATACCCTTTTTATGGCCAATAAATTGCATATAAGGCTTCAAAATGGGGACATTTGATTTTCAAAGTTCTAGCCCCCATAGACTTGCATTGAGTTTGAGTTCAAACTTTTTCCATGTTCTAAAGTTCAAATTCGAACCGAACAGGGGAGTGTTTGGCGCATTACTATCCTTTAACAGTTCTTTGTACAATCAGCTACACAAAGACTGCTATCGATAAAAATCCAGCTTTATTGTAGTAGTTTTCAGATAAAATCCAAAATCAAACGTAGTACAGCAAATACATCAACATAGTATCTCTCCCACACCAGCTCACCTCACTCGTTTCACCACCCAGGCTTAATCATAGAGGCAATGGCTGTTTACATACTAGCGTTCAGGTGGCTATAGAGCCACCTGATTGCTTGTATGCTGTCTGCCGCTGCCTAGTCCCATTAAGGAAGCCAGGCATTTCACACATGGATTGGCCACCACAGAGTCCAGACCTTAACCCCATTGAGACTCTTTGGGATATGCTAGAGAAGATTTTACGCAGTGGTCTGACTCTCCCATCATCACTACAAGACCGTAATGCAACTTGTGACAGAAATAAATGTTGTGATATTGCATAAGCTTATCAAAACGATACTATGTTGAATGCATGCTGTAATCAAAGCTAAAGGTGGTCCAACAAAATATTAGTGTCTGACTTTTTTGGGCTAGGCAGTGTAGCTATAATAGAAGCTGCTATTTTTGCAGAAAAAACACAATGTTGGTTAACATTTTGTACATACTGTACGTCACATGGATATCATAAAATAAGTGATCTTTCAAACTTGACTTTTTTTCGGGACATCCTAAAACATTTAATGTGAAAATGGCTTAATGTAGCTTAATGTACCATAATGTGCCTAAACCTCAATCAATTGCCTTAAAACTTTGCACAACCCAAGTGCTCAGCTTCCCAAACCTATCCTGGAAGTTTCATGGATTTTGATTACCCACAAGGCAAATTAGTGACATTAAGCTTGTTTTTTTGGGAGCTTAATGTGGCTTAATGTACAAAAAACAACTTAGATGTTAACCAATTTCCCCCAAACTTACAAAACCACACGACTCTATCTATGTCAACATATTCTGAAGATTTGGGGTCGTTTGATAAAACATACCAAAAGTTATTCACATTAAACTATTTTATTACAATCCTAAAACATTTAATGTGAACAGCTTAATGTAAAAAGAGCTTAATGTGTAAAAAAGTATCTAAACCTCAATCAATTGCCTTGAAACTTCACACAACCCAAGTGCTCAGCTTCCCAAACCTATCCTGGAAGTTTCATGGATTTTGGTTACCCACAAGGCAAATGAGTGACATTAAGCTTGTTTTTTTGGGAGCTTAATGTGGCTTAACGTACAAAATACAACTTAGATGTTAACTAATTTCCCCCAAACTTACCATACTACAAGGCTCTATATATGCCAGCATATTCTGAAGATTTGGGTTCGTTTGATAAAACATACCAAAAGTTATTCACATTAAACTATTTTATTACATTCCTGGAAAGCATTTAGCTTAATGTAAGAAGAGCTTAATGTACCATAATGTGCCTAAACCTCAATCAAATGCCTTGAAACTTTTCACAACCTAGGTTCCCATCTTCCAAACCTATCCTGGAAGTTACATGGATTTTGGTTACCCACAGGGCAAATGAGTGACATTAAGCTTGTTTTTTGGGACACTTAAAGGACATTTTCACCTTTATAAGTGATTTTGAGTTTTTGGTGGCGATGGGGAGGTGCAGGGGGGGTGTACATGTGTGTGCATTCTTAGGAGTCACAGAGCTGTATTTCATACTTTATTTTATAGATTCTTTTACCGGCCAGAGGCCTAGAAGTACAAAATTCCCTCCACAATATCTTCAATCCGTCTCTCTCACAGGGTCGGGTTTCTTATCTCTAAACTGCAATATGACTGCTAGAACAGATACAAAGACATTGGGGGAAATTGATCAAAATTGGAGCAAACAGCATCTGGAGCAGTTGCCTATGGCAACCAATCAGCTTCTCTCTTCAGTTTGTTCCATTAAGATTTGAAAGTGAGAGAGAGAAGCGGATTGGCTGCCATGCACAGCTGCTCCAGTTTTCGCCTGCTCCGGTTTCGATAGATCCCCCCCACTGTGCAGTGGCACCGGGGATGTGCGGGGTCCATGGAAATTGTTTGGTGTCACCACACATGTGCTCTCCACACATCCCCAGTGACCCCAAACATCCCCGGTGACCCCGCACATCTTCGGTGACCCCGCACAATCTCTGGTGACACCGCACATGCCGGTGAAACCGCACATGCCCGGTGACACCGCACAGAGTAACCTGGATGTGTGGGGTCACCGGGGATGTGCTGTGTCACCGGAGATTGTGCGAGGTCACCAGAGATTGTGTGGGGTCACCGGGGATGTGCGGGGACACCGAAGATGTGCGCATCCCCCAAACAATTTCCATGGACCCCGCACATCCCCGGTGACACTCCCATGGCTGGAGAGCTTATTACTTCGCCCACCCATAGTTTACGCAGCCTGTCAATATTTTCCGATGGAAGATGGGTTTCCTGTAAGAATACTATGTCTGGTTTAAGCTTTTTAAGGTGGCAAAGTACCATCATGCGCTTTGCCGGGGATTTGAGGTCATTAACATTCCAGGAGACCACTCTCATATTAAATTATCTATCAAAAAAGAGGAAGCATAAGATAATAACATCGTTAGTTTCACAAAAGACATTGAAATATGAGTTAACAGCAAGTCAGGGTATCGGTGTCACATGTGTAACGATAGATATGCACTTAGTACCCGCGAGGTCTGAAGCTCGTAATGCAGTAATCTGTGTAACGTGACTAAGTTCAAGAAACTTGGGTAGCAGGGTCTGCTTGTCCCCTTTTGGGGAGATGTGGACAAGAACAACCGGTCAACATGACCGCCACCAAACAAAACTGAGTTAAGAAAATAAAAAACAAAAAAACGTTTAGCTTGTGACTTCACTTTTTTTCTTGATAGCGTCACAGAGTGAGTGGATTGTCTTCCGCTAAACCAGGTCTATATGACTTGATAATACTAGTAGGGTACACTGGTACCTCAACGTCACGTTGAAACGATAAGATCTTGCTGCAGCGTGAATGTCGCTGCTAGTCTGTGGGTGCCAGACAGTCCTATGTATGGTATGCGACCTGTAGTGCCGAGGGGACTAGGCCAGCCATCTCACTGTGGTAAATTTGAAGCGGGTAGGCTGCCCAACACTGCTGTGGGCCAAAGGGTCAAAGGAACAAACGGAACATAGGGTCCTGGGCGATGGCCAGTTCAGAAGAAATTCGCTTGTGGCAGTGAAGAGGGGCAAAGGCATCTCCCGTCCTGCTCAATGATGAGATCGCTGGTATGGGCACCACGTACCTTGCAGCCAGTGTGCAACCGAGCCGCTGTAGTTATTCAGGGTGAGTCCGTAGGAGTCATCGGGAGACGTGCGGAGAGCTTTCTGGCTGGAGTGCTGTTTTTCTGCGGAAGAGAGAACCGATCCCTCAGAGGTAGGGTGGCTGAAAGCTCCATGTGGTCCAGGTATTTCCGTGCCTCTTCTGGGTCCTGGAATGTAAGAGGCGAGCCATCCTCCGATTGGAACCGCAGGGTTGCGGGGTAAGCTAGGGTGAACCACATTTTTTTGTGATAGAGAAGCAAGCATATGGTATTAAATGCCTTACGCTTCTTGGTGACTTCCAACGAATAGTCCGCAAAGAGGAGAAGGCAGTGACCATCAATGTGAAGCTCCTTTTTGGCGCAAAAGGCCTGCAGGATCGCCATGCGATCGTTGTAATCCAGGTACCTGGCAATGACTGGCCACTGGGTTTTCCGTTCCGGGTTTGGAGGTCCCACCCTGTGGGCTCGCATCGGGGATAAGGCCTAGGATGTCCGGTATATTATGTGCGCAGATGGTAGGAAGTTGCGATGGGCGATAGGATTCCGGTAGGCCTATTATCC